TGTCCGGGCATCTCTGACCGTCTCGTTACACATGTGATGGAGAGAGTGTGCAGGTGATGCACCGCCGTCTCAGCCGGGCTGTTTAATATTAAACAGCAAATACACACTTATGTTATTCTGACCTGCTGCTTCATGTCGTTCTTTTAGGTTTTCTTTAAATGGCAACACCACCCCGTCTTCGCGGTGAAAGCCTCGCTGGATGTAACGTGACCCTTCGACCCCTTTTCAGTCCCCCCCAAATCCACACAGCTTCTCAGATAAGGACCACAGACGAATCCCCACCCACCTCCATCCCCTCATACCTGTACACCCTTCCAAGTCCAGTCCCTGAAGAGATCTTTTAATTAGTTATAATTAAATATTTTTACAGTTTTTCTTTATGAGCGGAGAGTATTTAAGACAAAAAAGCCATGACAGTTAGAGCGTTGTGTATCCATGTTATTGGAAAAAAAACAACTATAATAAATTCTATGAAAAATGTTCCATTATCTTTGCTGTCATATGTCATTAATTTAACTACTGGCTCGTGTTTCTTTTTTATAGAGGACCTATAATACTTTCCTTTATTTTCTGTCATGTATATGCTGTTACATGCTTGATGCTCAGATTACACTTGGCCAAAGTTTAAGTTTACTGCTCAAAAAGGAACACTTAGTCCTCACAGTATAACACCAACTCACTTCAGGAGTATCAACCTGGCCAGGCTGGAACCTCGAACCACTGTGAATTCATTTTGTGTGCTTTTAGAAATGAAAATGATAGCGTGATGCTGAGCTCCTGGACAGTATTTGAGTATTTGGCTGCTTCACCAGCATGAAGTCCAACAGTGGCTCTGGGGATTTCATCCCTGTACTATTCTGTGTTATCCTGGGATCATTAAAGGTTACCTTCATTGTTTTGAGCAGTGTAATTACGTCAGTGAGCTAAAAAGAGCCCAGACTTAAGACTGCTATCAGTTTCAGACGTTTTTTTTCCTACTCTTGATTCTGTATGGTGCGTTGCGATATTCTTATTATGGTCTTTTCAGGTACATACATTTAGCTGTGAGCACAGAAGCCCCACCCATGTGCCATACAAGCCTGTGTATGAGAATGATATTGAGAGGAAAGCTGGTTTTAGGGGAGGGTGAAGGAAACAAAGAGGTTGTTTCAGAGAGAACAATTAACTAAAAGGGTACAAATACAAGATGGTTGAGGATTATTTGTAACAATGATTTTCAAAGATATTGGAATAATGGTCTAAGATGAAAGTATGGACCTAGAAACATAATAGGTTAATTTTAAATACAGTGCAAAAGTCTTGAGTCACCCCTCTTTTCTTTATATTTTGCTTCCAAGGAGCCAGACTTTTGTAATTTCAAAAGAGCTATTGAGCAGTAGTTCTCAAGGACATCTTTCAAAAACATATTTTGGACCTTGGCTGCTTTTTCAGTCCAGTCCTTGCACCTGTTCATTTCCAGTGGAACGTTTTCTTTTTCTTTTTTTAATGACCACCACCAATGAACCATTCAAGGGCTGCATTTCAACCAGCAGCGATGGGGATTGTGTCAAAAATGATGGAATTATAAACCAGGAAAAGTCAGATTTTGTTCCAACATGTAATCCTAT